TACAGTAGACTGCACAAAACTATTAAAAATAACGTAATCGACCTGTACTTTAAACGAATTGAACTAAAGAGGAAGGCTATAACTGACATCGAGAGGAAAAAAACCGTTCAATATATGATGTGCACGTGTTATCGGGAATACTATTCAGCATCATACAAGCAGTCTGTATATGAAAAATAAAACTATTAAAAATCATGACAACAACCTTAAAAAATTTTTCTTCACACTTGTTTGAGATTGATCAAAATTTTGGACTAGAGCCAGAGAAACTAACAAACAAACTATATGATTTGATAGAAGAGCTGATGCTCTATCCAATTGTGTTCAAATAAAAAAAAATTCGATTTATTGCATATATACAGCAAACGACACAAAACTATTAAAAATAACGTAATCAATCTGTATATTACAGTACGTTAATGCCAATTTTGAATAACTTTCAGTTGGATTTTTCTCATATATTTCAAGTGTTTTCTCATAAAATGAAATTGAAGTTGGAAATTCTCCTTTATTATGATAGACTAAACCCAGATTGTTGTATGTGACAGCTAAAATAATATCATTTGAAGGTTGTTGATCGTGGTGAATTTCAAGTGATTTCTCGTAAAATACGATTGCATTCGTATAATCTCCACAATTATCTTTGATATGACATAATTGATTATAAATAAGGGCTTTCTCACAAGCGTCTGTTGTTGTTTCGACAATATTATTGTACACATGTTCGGCTTTATTAAATTCACCAACTTTAATAAGCAATTGACCAAGTCTATGGAAACCTGTTAATCCTTGTATTTCCTCTCGCATTCGCTCTGTAAGCGCATTGAGTTCATCATCATTATCACCAGTCAACATGAGTTTTACGCGCCAGAACTGTTGACTATCATCCATTTCCGAAATGTCGCCAATTCGAAAAATAGTATGTGTCGAAAAGAGAATTTCATTTTCTTCAGGAAAATGACTCATATGACTAATGTTTGCAAATGGTGTCGATGAAATTGAACAATCAATAGTAATTTCAAAAAGAATACCAATCAATTCCTCACTATTTTTGTTGCTTTCAGCAAATGCATGCGAAGTCTGAAAATTTGTGCTAGTCGATAAAAATTTATTAAATGACATGAGACCACCTTTTATTTCTTCAGTGTTTCGAAGTCCATTATAGATATACCTTGACCTCGAAAGACAGACAATGATTGTTCGGGAAACGTTTTCCTTTGTTCAATATGAAGTTGTTCGATGGACTTATGAAGATCTCGAATGAAAAAACCCATTTTAATAATGGTATCAATATCTTGCATACGCAGGGACCGATTGAGTTCAGTATAAAGAAATACTTCAGAACTATACCAACTAATAGGTGATTTAAGATAATAATCACGCTCGAAATTACGAATTAAATTCAATTGAGTGTCGTTATTGGCATACTTTTCAAGACAATAAGTCAAAAATCTTTTATCGATTGTTCATTATATTCAATTTCAAGTAATATTTCTTTAAATAATTGGGGATACATAAATGATTAATCTAATCTATCAATGTTTTCATTTAAAATTTCAGTCGGTTCAGCAAAACTGAATGTAGTCGAATTCCGATCCAGTTGTCGTACCATTTGTTCAAGCAAATCGCAAATTTCGACTATTTTCTTAAAGATGCCTTTTATCTTTGACAATTCTTATGTTGATAGATCATGCTCCGAATTTTCTTCACAAATAATATAGATCGAATCGAGTTGAGACATATCATGAATTTTAGACATTAGATTTAAATATAAAGAACATGATACGATAAGGAAAACTCTTTTGTTTTTTATATTAGTGAAAAAATCGATGCATTCGTCAGTATTGGTGAATGTATCAATATTATTGATAATTCGATGCAATTGATTGATTGAATTTTTAATCTCATTATTTGAATAGTCCATGCAAATGATAAGAAAATTTTCAACGGTATGAGGACTTGTGTGCGTATTCTCTCTAGTAGTAATATTAATATTCTGCATTTTGAAAGAAGCATATCTGTATTGTGATGTAGTAACATTGTCTATTGAAAAACTTGGTATTAGGTAATCTTTCTCCGTGTTCATGAAACGAATGAACTCTAATTTTGTTTCACCCATATTGTTTTTTAGCGAATACATTGGTCTTTTTTTTTGATTGTATATAAGGCTATGTCAAAATTGTGCGTAAATATGCTTTATGCAAGCACAAAAACAAAAACACTTACCTTTCAATTCATTTTTCATAATTTCGATCATTATTTGTATGCTTGTTAGCATTTCAACATGCTGCACTAACTTGCTGGCTTGTATACACAAAATAAAATGTACACATCAATTATCGTAACACATTGCAAGCTCATTCCCCTATGATGTATAGAGGTTGTTGACTGTAACATTTTGGGTGTGGGTGCGAGTATGGGTGAGTGTGGGTATTAATCTCAGTTACACTCGCACCCACATCCACCCCTTTACCTGATGGTTGAATTTAATCTACTCAACCATAATTATTCTATGTTACTATTTTGGAGCACACATATTCTCGCCATGTCGTCAACTGTCTACAATCCGTTCCTTTATTTGGGTCTGAACGATGATTTTCGTCAAGAATTTCAACGAATTATCCCATGTTTATTTAAAATTTGCTCATGTCTTAATAGAAATTGGTCAAGGATGCCTGCATCGAGCAACGCGATCGCTATGGGTGACACTAATGCTTGTAAAAACCAGCAATCGAGTTACACACTACCGATCAACGACTTATGTCAAGCAGCAAGAAACGGCAAAAGTGGTGACCTTGTTTTAGAAACGCTCAACGAATCCGACATGCACAAAGAAGATAGAAAAAGTCGTGGTTCTCCGAAGACTACTCTCTCTACTGATCTAAAATCATTACTAACTGCATCAGCCGATCGTTCGATAACTGCAGTTGCTGGTGGTGGTATGTAGAACCGAATTACGAAGGTGATTCACCCAATCGGCGATCATTGCATTCTACTAAATATACAAGGACAACAGCAACTTCTTCTAGAGATATCTCTCCCAACGAGTACAGCAATAACAGTAGTAACTAGCTGAATCAAATACTAGCCTTAACTGGCATTTTCAACCTTTCTTCGCCCTAATCATTTTATGCCGATAAATAAAAACATTACCCTGTTAAAACCGAAACATAATCTGTTGGAAATAATGTTCATGATTTCATTCTTTTTGGATATTTTGTTTTTCTTTGTCAGAATTGGTTTGTTGACTGATCATCTATTTAGTATTTGTCTAAATAAATATCATAGAATCTCCAAAAGCTTTCCCTACTTTATAAGTACGATGAATGTCCATTGATATGATTCATAATTTGGCAATCAAAACTGTCACATATCCGGTTTGAAGGCGAGTGTGGACGTGGGTGTAGGTTTCGGTGTGGGTGCTAATTGAAGTCTTTCACCCATACACTCATCCACATCCCACACCAGACCTACACCGCACCCACCCTTTGAAGTAGATGCCAAGAGACAATATGCGGGTACATAGTCTGCTTTCTTCTGACGCAGGATAGGAATGATATATCATTCGATTAACTGAAACAAGCTTACTGATCGGCTCGTTTGATGAAATAAACATTATCACTAAAGATATGCAATGGATTCCGGCAATTGACATCACTGCTTTTACTCCTCATTGCTTTTTCATCGGTAAAATAAGGAGAAACGAAGCCATTTAGTACTAGTCGTTTCAATAATAATCACATGAGACTACTTCTCCAGACATTCAACGATAACAGAGTAAAGTTTTAGTCCTAAAAGAAAAAATACTATCGTACTTTAATGATACAAGGAAGGTCCAAATATACCACACATCTTTGGAAAAACGACATCTAGAAAATAAGAAAAAAAAGAGTTTTCTGTATGATAAGAATTCCTGGAAATCCAAAAAGCCCAATGATAATTCAGGGGCATTCGGAAGTACAGAATTCACCGTTATCCCCTTTATAAAATTTTCAAATGTAGCTAAGAAGAAAGCTCCTGATTTGAGTTTCCAACGGTTTTCGTCCAGAAGAACACTACACTAAAAAAAGGTACATTACGGAACCTTCGAGGTTCCGTGTAACCTGACCGAGTTTTTTTGGCATCGTGCGACTTTACTGAATCGTCGAAAGAGTTCGGAGTCAACCGGGCTTCGCGAAGACGTTAAAAGAGTTTGTTGCCATTCAAAGGGTTTCGTATATGGTATCTTCGAAAATTAAAGTGCCCAGGAGGTTTCATGACATATTTGAAAGAGTTTTCATCGTTCATATGGCTTGGTAAAGTACACCTATTCACGTATCATGACCGAGAAGTTTCGCACGAAACCCATCTTTCTCTCTCTGGAAACAACAATAAGAGCACATGTTCAGCAATCACACATTTGACTAAGCGGACTTTAGTTTCTCTGTATGTATAAATTTTGAACCTACGGAGGAGGTGTGGGTGTTACTGTTCGCATTGAAATAATAGCACACCGACACCACCATTCATACCCCACACAATTGCATAGAGTTCAGTGCATGATTAAGTCTAGCAAACATTATTATATATCACTGCATTGTCTTTATCTCGAGTGTAGAAGAGCAATATATTTGTCGTATGATAAACTAAATATCGGAGACAAACCATACAGTATAAGGCCTATTCCTAACAGAGTACACTTGCTCGTAATATGTTGGAAGAGGAGAATTTTATGGGAATGAAAATGAGTGCGAGGGTATTATTCATGTGGCACGATTACTTATTTGAGCACTAACTGGACACCAAAGTTCAAACTTTCAAAAAAAAATGAAGACCTTTACTCTATAGTAACAAAAGCTTTCATCAAAATGGATTCACATTATCGTGTTTTTATCTAATTTTTGCTGCTGAAAAAGAAACTATTAAATGGAAGAAACCGGTCAACATGATTTCTTTAAGTATTGATTCTAGAAACTACTGTAACTTGCATCTTTCGTTTATCATTATGCACCTGATTCAAGAATGAAGGACAAACGTATGGTCCATCCGAATGATAATAAAAAACTTTGAGTCATATACACACAGCATATTGGTTACAGTTATTAACTCTCGGTTACCGTCCTCATTTTATAACTTCAACAGTGCCCTGGGGTCCGCGTGGACCCACCCCATAAAATTACAAAAAAATTAGGGTTTTGCTTTACGTAAGGTATCTATTTATATACTATAAATTTCCAAATACTCTTCTCCCTAGAGGCTTATTTATTGCTTCTTATAGAGGCAATATGAGAACGTACGATGCGAAGAAAAGGATTGACTCATACTAGTTTCATAACAGA